CATAGGGAGAATCTATCATCATGTTATACTCTGTCAATCGGACTGGTGTGTTCTCTTGAATGAGCATAACTTTTTTATTCCTCAATGAAATTTTGCCAGTTTGGTATTATTTTGCTCGCAATAGCATGTACTTTTTAAATGTAAAATGATAAATTGCAAAAGGACTGAAATTTTCATAGGGAGAATCCATCATCATGTCATATTACTCCGATAATTGTACTTAAGTCTGGTGTGTTCTCTTGAATGAGCATAACTTTTTTATTTCTCAATGAAATTTTGCCAATTTGATATTATTTTGCTTGCAATGGCATGTATTTTCTACATGTAAAACGATAAATTGAAAGAGTACTGAAATTTTCATAGGGAGAATCCATCATCATGTGATACTCTGTCAATCGGACTGGTGTGTTCTCTTGAATGAGCATAACTTTTTTTATTTCTCTATGTAATTTTGCCAGTTTGGTATTATTTTGCTCGCAATTGCATGTACTTTTTAAATGTAAATTGATAAATTGAAAGAGGACTGAAATTTTCATAGGGAGAATCCATCATCTTGTCATATTACTTCCAATAATCATACTTAAGTTTGGTGTGTTCTCTTAAATGAGCATAACTTTTTTATTTCTCAATGAAATTTTGCCAATTTGGTATTATTTTGCTTGCAATATAGCATGTATTTTCTTAATGTAAAATGATAAATTGAAAGAGGACTGAAATTTTTATAGGGAGAATCCATCATCATGTTATACTCTGTCAATCGGACTGGTGTGTTCTCTTGAATGAGCATAACTTTTTTTATTTCTCTATGAAATTTTGCCAGTTTGGTATTATTTTGCTTGCAATTGCATGTACTTTTTAAATGTAAATTGATAAATTGAAAGAGGACTGAAATTTTCATAGGGAGAATCCATCATCATGTTATACTCTGTCAATCAGACTGGTGTGTTCTCTTGAATGAGCATAACTTTTTTATTCCTCAATGAAATTTTGCCAGTTTGGTATTATTTTGCTCGCAATAGCATGTACTTTTTAAATGTAAAATGATAAATTGTAAAAGGACTGAAATTTTCATAGGGAGAATCCATCATCATGTCATATTACTCCGATAATTGTACTTAAGTCTGGTGTGTTCTCTTGAATGAGCATAACTTTTTTATTTCTCAATGAAATTTTGCCAATTTGATATTATTTTGCTTGCAATGGCATGTATTTTCTACATGTAAAACGATAAATTGAAAGAGTACTGAAATTTTCATAGGGAGAATCCATCATCATGTGATACTCTGTCAATCAGACTGGTGTGTTCTCTTGAATGAGCATAACTTTTTTTATTTCTCTATGAAATTTTGCCAGTTTGGTATTATTTTGCTCGCAATTGCATGTACTTTTTAAATGTAAATTGATAAATTGAAAGAGGACTGAAATTTTCATAGGGAGAATCCATCATCTTGTCATATTACTCCAATAATCATACTTAAGTTTGGTGTGTTCTCTTAAATGAGCATAACTTTTTTATTTCTCAATGAAATTTTGCCAATTTGGTATTATTTTGCTTGCAATATAGCATGTATTTTCTTAATGTAAAATGATAAATTGAAAGAGGACTGAAATTTTCATAAGGAGAATCCATCATAATGTTATACTCTGTCAATCGGACTGGTGTGTTCTCTTGAATGAGCATAACTTTTTTATTTCTCTATGAAATTTTGCCAATTTGGTATTATTTTGCTTGCAATAGCATGTACTTTCTAAATGTAAAATGATAAACGGAAAGAGTTAGGACTGAAATTTTCAAAGGGAAAAATTAAGGAGATAAAAACAATTTCCATTCTCCTGTAGGAAAATATATTCTATAAAACATTATTATAGAGAACTTTTAATCCTATTTGTGACAATTATGGAACTTCTTGTCCCATTTCACAACTTATGGGATAAAATATCCCATGTAAGGTTTAAAATGGGAATTTTGATTCTATAGGAGAAAAAATCCCACAGAACTCATTTTTCTACAACAGAATAATGGTGGGATATTGGTTAGGAGAGAAAATCCCACCATAATCCCATGGGATTTCTTGATTTCAGGTGTAATATCTTTTAAACTGGAAGATATTCAGGTGTAAAGGTTAGTCCATGTTGTGCGATTAAAAAAATCCCACCGGATGACATAATCTTTTTCTATGTATCTTTGGAAAAGTGGTTGGCGAAAGTCCGGATAAATGTCGTGTCCGGAGTTAAATGTCGCACTGTTTTATGCAACTGTTGTAGTGATTGGTAAGTGATACGAATTCTTGCGTAATGCGTAATTATGTGAAACAGGTAGGCATTGATTGACCATTCTTGCAAATATTCAGGTGTATAATCATTAAGTATTTTGTACATAAGTGTAAGCTTATGTTTAGTTCTTCTTTCATTAAGCGTTTGCCATCCTAATTCATGATACAATTTTTGTTTCGAAGAATTGCGCCTTAACCCAGTAATGATACGCCCAGCCTCTATTTGCACACTCTCTAATAGATTACTCTGTTCCTGTGTGCAATTATCCCATACTACATTTCCATATTCTAAAATAGGCCTTATAAAAGCAATATAAATACTAATAAGGGAATCTCTGTTTAATTTGTATTTAAGGGTGCGAAGAACATTTAAACGTTGACATGCTTTATCATATATTTTGGATATATGTTCTGACCAACCACCATTGGATTGTAGTATAAGTCCAAGGTGGCAGTGACTTTGCTGTTGTTCTATGTAACTATTTACATAACCAAATGAGATTTGTGGATGAGCTTTATTTGACCGGGTAAAATTAACATTTACAGTTTTGCTAGGGTTAAAGTCTACCATCCATTGTCTGGACCATTGTTTAATTTTTTCCAAGTCATTAATTAAAGAGACGGCAGGGGCTTGTGTATCAGAGTCTACAATTACAAACAAAGATGTATCATCTGCAAATAACCTAATTTGATTTTCTAAATCTTCAGTTATGTCATTAACATATATCAAAAAGAGGAATGGTCCTAATACCGAACCTTGTGGGACGCCTGCATTTATACTTTCTCTAACTGAGGAGTACCCTTCTAATAAAACTTTTTGTTCACGATCAGTAAGATAGTTTTCAATCCAATCCAATATATTTCCGACAACACCATTCTGCTTAAGCTTAAATAATAACCCCTTATGCCAGACCTTAATAAATGCTTTTGATATGTCACAGAAAACAAATCTTACATCTTTGCCTTGGTCTAAATTGCTTATAATAGTATTGTATATTTCTAGAAGCTGATTTACGGTGGAGTCCCCAGGTTGGAATCCAGACTGATTCTTGGATAAAAGATTATGATCCATCATATAGTTGTGGAGATGTTTGAAAATAATTTTTTCCATAATCTTACAGAGAATACTAGTTAAAGCAATAGGTCTGTAGTTTCCTGGTTCTTCGGGACTACCTTTATTTTTATAAACTGGTGTAATATTTGATAGTTTCCATATATGGGGAAGCTGTTTGCTGGTTAATGATGCATTAAACAATTTTGCTAGGGGTGCAGTGATAGACGGAATTATATTTTTCAGTATATGTGGAGAAATATCATCTGGTCCTGGGGGCTTAGATGGGTTGATATTATGTAATTGATCCTCCACTTCTTGGGGTGTAATATGAATTGTGTTTATTGAATATGGTGGACCTGGCCCTTGAGGGGGTAGTTGGGATTCTGTGTTTTAGGTATATTTTTGTCAACATAATGGTTATATATCTTCATAAAGTTATCATATATGTCATTGATATTGTGTGTATTAAATATCTCTCTATCCCAATCAACATTTGACAAATCTGTGCATAGTTGTGAGTAGTTAGCTTTTGTATAATTTCTTATGTATCTTTTATATGAGTGTTGCTTGAATGTTTTAAAATGTAGATCAACACCAACTGGACTATGAGTGCTACAAAAAGGTGTTAAGATATTTACAGTTTCTATTTTTTCAACAGCATTGGTAATAATAAGATCAATACATGTACCTTTTGATCTTGAAAAATTTGTTGGTTTTGTAACAACATTTGATAAAGAAAAATTTTGCAACATGTTTTTAAATGCATTGTTACCATCAGCTAACATATAAAACTTAAAATCGCCCAATAGAAATATTGGTAATTCAGCATTCAAAGCACTTTCTATAGATAGTGCAAGTTGGTTTACAAAGTCTGCTTTTGCACTAGGTGGTCTATATATTACACCAACTAAGAATTTGTGATTACCATTTTCAATCTCAATCCATATAATTTCAATATTTGAAGTAAGGATATCTTCATGTTTCTTGAAACTGAGGTTACTTTTAACATAGATCATAACACCACCTCCATACCTGTTACGATCAAGTCTAACGGGTGCCTGAAATCCTTCAAGTTCAATATCATTGTCAGTTATAGATTGGTCTAAATGACTTTCAGTAATAGCAACAATATCATAATCACATAGTTCATTATATATAATGTCAATTTTAGGGAGAATGCTACACACATTATTATGTATAATTTTTATATTGGAGTTCAATGTAGGACCTGGATTGATTCCAGTGCCTTCTATAATGAGTAAATAATAGATTACCAAGTAATAATATAAGGACATACCTTGAAAAATTCTATCCCTTACACATCGTTTTGCACATGGTTGTGGGAAATAATTTGTGTCATTCTTAGTCATTTGTATCAAAAATCAAGTTGGTATGATCAGAAAATGCCACAACCATTGTAGGAAAAACCCCTACATAAACAAATACATGGGCGCAGACATTTTGGACACCCAAGGTTGTGCGGAGGAGAAAATGCTAGCTGGCGCGTGATTGGTCAATAATGGGAAAAGACTTGTTATGTATTTGACAAGTGAAATAAAGTTGATAAAAATCTCATATCAAGACTTGGGTTTCTTTGAGGTATATAGGAGTTACAGGTAAAAATTTGAAGGGAGGGATGCACTTTGGTTAGAGATTTTCATTTGGTGTCAACGCACCTAGTTGTAAACAAATGGAAATTGAAAGTAAAAGTGCAACGGCACGGTATATTTTTTCTGGCATTTTTTGTTTTCCAATATCTCGAACTTTCACGACAAAAAGACCATTTTCCCGAAATTCAATATATGTATCAGTGAGAGGTGCTAAAGTTTGTATGGAAGTCTATGGGAAAACATTTGGTGGTGTTTGTCCTATAGAAAAGGTAGGATTTCATGGATAAAAATTGATTACAGCCAAAAAATCAATCAGTTCCTATTTTTTCGGCATTGGGATTATATTTTAGTTAGTTTTGACTATTTGTTTAAAAATTAGAGGGTCTGGGTAAATTGGGGCTCACAATGGGGACTGCACATAGTGAAAAAATGCCAAAATTTGTGCCCTAGCTCTCATATTTTCAATAAATGAACATGTAAATAATTTTAAATAAATATTTATACCGAAATTTACTGTGAATATTGTAAATAATACAATATCAATATTTATGGGCATCATCAATACACAAAACATATGAATATCCCCCTCGCAGTTTGAGAAATTCATTTAAATCCATGTATTTTATGAGTGTAGACATTGGAACAGATTGAATAATCCTCTTTCAAACTTGTGTTAATCAGAGGTGATTGAATAATTTATAACAAAATTTGACTGCTGTTAGCTAATTAGGGTACTTTGTTTTTACATAAGGGGCATAATCCAGCAGAAAAGCCAGTTTCAGTCATGTAATCAGTGCTGGCTTGAAATAAGAGTTATACTATTGGTGAAACTTAGAGATTACTAGTAGGAAATTTAATTTAAATTACAGTACAATATATTCTTGCTGAAAATACATTGAAAATGCAATAAATGTGCAAAATTATAACTGAAAAAATTATGAAAAAGGTGTCTGAATATCCCTCCTCCTTGCCATATCCAATCTTGATATTCTGCTGAAAGGGGGGGGGTAATTTTGTGCTTTAATCATGCTGAAAAATGAAGGAATTTTGTTTAAATTTGGTTTATTTGAATAACAAGAGTCATGCTTATCTGCAGTTATTTTTTTCCAATTTCTTTGATATTTTTAAAAGTAATTATCTGAGTAAATTCTATTTAACATGATTTTTTTTAAAGGTATTACATCACAAATGCTTAAAAGAAATTCAAAAGATGGTGTAAATAATAAAAAATTAAGATATAAGCTGCTATATGCATTTATCAGTATGTTTTAATAAAATAAAATGTATTTTAGCAATGCATTATCAAGAAGGAAGAGATTAATGAACCCTACCCTCTTACAATGAACAAAACATGGACACTCTCGGGATGATCCTTTTGCTTTCATTAAGAGTTTCAAGGTATGGTTTTCTTAGAAAATCTAGTCAATCTCTTAATATTTAAGTTATTAAGAACTTTTTATAGATTATTAGAAAATAAATTTCCTCAGAACTGCAGTTATTTAAGCACTTTGCTTACAATTGAGCACTGTATTCAGTCAGACAATATGATTTATCTGCCCTTGGCATTTAATCAATTTATTAATTATGTCATTGATAAGAAATAATATGCTAATAAATATATTTGCCTTTTATGAGAATATACATATTTAACATCAATTACATGAAATGATCATGAAAATTGGCTAAAATGTAGGTCACCCCCCTTCAAAATTACAAAATTTTCAATGGGGATGTATTTGATTCTCTGATGCCAGCAACCCACTGCTGAAAGATTTTTTTTAAATCTTATGTACATTTGAACTAGATATAATTCTCTTTCTTTCCACTGATTATTCTATCTACATTAGTTTTCACTCTTTCCATAACCCAGCTTTTTCTTACAAAAACCTGCTGATTTTCTTCATTTTTCATTAATAACGGGTACCTGCTACCCTGAATGATTAACATGATCTACCTTCAGAAATTATTAGAGATAATAAGAAAAACAAGCAAAACATAAGCGAAATTAATCATTTTATTTTAAAAGTTTGAAAGAAAAATAGAGAAATGCTTCAATTTATAGACATTTTTTCTGTTTCACAGATGTGGGTCTGATTGACTGGGGTGTGAAATGTAACAGCCAATGGTGTACTTAAGCTAAGACTGTCAGTCCCAATATTCAAGAGGTGAGATAAGCAATGGATATGTGTTCTAAATTTACTAAATTGACCACTTTTTAAAAATGTTTCTTTTACTCTATAGGAAAAACCCCTACATAAACAAATACATGGGCGCAGACATTTTGGACACCCAAGGTTGTGCGGAGGAGAAAATGCTAGCTGGCGCGTGATTGGTCAATAATGGGAAAAGACTTGTTATGTATTTGACAAGTGAAATAAAGTTGATAAAAATCTCATATCAAGACTTGGGTTTCTTTGAGGTATATAGGAGTTACAGGTAAAAATTTGAAGGGAGGGATGCACTTTGGTTAGAGATTTTCATTTGGTGTCAAACGCACCTAGTTGTAAACAAATGGAAATTGAAAGTAAAAGTGCAACGGCACGGTATATTTTTTCTGGCATTTTTTGTTTTCCAATATCTCGAACTTTCACGACAAAAAGACCATTTTCCCGAAATTCAATATATGTATCAGTGAGAGGTGCTAAAGTTTGTATGGAAGTCTATGGGAAAACATTTGGTGGTGTTTGTCCTGTAAAATTGACAACTTTCACTTTGTAATAAAAGTAAACACTAAAAGTGCAGTCTACTGAGCCTTGAGAAGTGGTAAGAACCGAATTGAAAAAACTAAGTTGAAAAAGAAATGAACATAATAAGAAAAAGGTATACAACATAAATACATGTATATACAGTAAAAATGAAAACCATATCGATGTAATATATGGCAGATTAAATAACTAATCAGTGTGCTATATATATGGCCTGGTCATGTATTTCGTTGATTAGTCTGCCCCTGCGTACTGGTAATCGTGTCACAAGCGCTCGAGAAACCCTGAGTGTTTTTGCACGTGGAGAAGTGACAGATTTGCACCAAGTATGCGGCAAGGAAATAAATTGTTTACGGCCGTCGAATTAAATTCAGATCGGCAAGAGTCCATACGTAAAACGTCTAGTCCCTATAGGCAGCATTAGCAGGAGTTGAGGTAAGTGGTGCAAACTCTTGATGCAGTTCAGGAGATAGGGGATCACTTGGTGACTCAAGGAAAGTATGCAGTTTGTGGAGGCCCTCCTCGGTCTCTATGGTGAGTTTTTTCTTCCCTCGTGTCTTAACAATTATCTTTCCATCATACGTCCATGCATTTTCCAACTGATCATTGCTCTTTACAAGTTTCCTAACCTCGAATAGGAGATGGGCTCGCTTTTTTGTAAGTGCCTCATTGATGAAAATCTTGTATCTGTTGGATGGATTCTGGTTGAAGCTCTTCAGATTTTTTTTTTCACTAGGTCAACTGGTCAGGTTTGGACATTTTCTTTTTGAAGGCCTTTTTTTCTCGACAATTTTTATCTTGTTAAATGTTGTTTTCTGGTCTCATTTTGGGAAATATTTGAAAATTTGCCCGAAAATTAGAAATTATATATCCCTTTTAAAAAGTAACTCAGAGATGAAAACAGGGTTGAATATGTTGAATCTGTGAGCACTGATTTTAATTAATAATTTATTTATTTATTCATTTATTTTAATGTTATACGTTTGTAGATCGTCCAAGAATTAAACTCCTCCACATGACTGTACGTATGTACAAGTACACACCGTATGCATGTGCAACCGGCAAATGGGGCGAGCTGATAAAAAATTAGAGGTTAAGAATCCCTAGAACAAAGGTACATGTGTTTAGTTTGTCTCTTAAAATTTCAATACAAAATACATTTTTTATAAAGTAATCATTTTTGAAATCTCATTAATTTTTTTTTTTTTTGATTTAATGGAATCGCAAATAAGAACTGAAATGAGACTTAATTCAATATGTTACTATAAGTATATGATCAAATTGATCGATTTTAATTTTGCATGGTAAACAGTTCAAAGGAAAACACCTTTAAATTGATTTCAATTGATCAGAGATCGGTGATCGACCTGTGATTTGGCTGTATTGTGTACATGTCTTCAGCCCCGGGGTAGGTCGGGGAACAACTTGTATATTCCATGCAAATTGTAGTGGTCAGCGTAACAATGGGCACTAATTACCTATTGTTCTTCGTCTGCGGCTACCGGTGTTATCAATAAACAAACTACCTACACTGTACATGTACTCGCTACTTTGGAACAATCTTAAAGTTTACAGACGCACGAAAAACAAAATTCCGTAATATTGAATTTGATGACGAATAAAATTGATAGAAAAAATATTTAGAATAGAACACTGTGGTACTAAAATAAAAATAGAAGATATATACATGTACATCTTGTACGTTGTACAGATTTATTTTAATTATTAATTCACAAAGATCTATCTTTCTTCAGTATTTAATTTCAATTTTTAGTTTTACGCATATTTCTTCAATCAATCAATCATTTATTGAATCTTTTTACTATTTTACAATAGTATGAGACCACAAAAACATATAAAATGTAGGTGATTTTATACATAACAGTAGGTCTAAAAGGCATGCGTGAATAAGAAACTAAACAAAAAAAAAATGTAGGTTGCTATAAATGCGAAGTAAAGGAATTTAGGCCGGGGAGTATATTTCGTTTATCAGATAAAAGAATATTCCGGGGGAGGTGGTCACATGTATTTTCAATTCTGAATTTCTGTTAACGATGGTTTGTGACCGGTAAATACGTAGACGAGAAATTGACTTCACTTTTTAATTTAAAAAAAAAAGTGTGCAAAATATACAATCATATTAATATAAAGAGAAAGATGGTTTAGTGAAAGCACTTTTTTGAAATAATATTGGCATTAATTGTTCACAATTCAGATGCAGGGAAACTCCACTTCGCTAAATCCGAGAAAAAAAACTCTTAAATGTATGGATTTTGAATGTCAGAAACATGACGTTGTTTATCGCACTCATGAATAAATTTTAATTACTTCAGTTCTAAATTTTGTATTGTTCATTGCAATTGATTCTCAAAATATTTTTATTCATGCATTTAAAAAATTCGATAAGTATAATATCATAACTTGCATGACTTATAAAACACACAATTAAAGAACAGACCTTGCCCTATCGGCTATCACTTAAATGTAAACAGTATTTAACCCCCCCTTCCTTTTTGTGCTACAATCAAGTAAAATCATATAAGCACCCAGTCTGTACTATTCGTTTATACATAGGTCTCGGACAAAAATGGAATTTAAAAAAATATATAATCTCTGTACAAAATTCTAATTTTACAAAAACGCAAGCCGTAACGATATCCCTATGGCAGAATGTACTAATAATTGACCCGATTCTAAAACGAAAGTAGAACTTTTACACGTGGTTGACATGTATGTTCCAGAACAAGAAGCAAAATTGCATTAATGGAAAATTTTAATTCACGTTTTGATTTATTTTATTTTGTTTTTTAACTGACTGACCGCATATAACATGTTTAAGGAGTGGCGCATAATATTAGAAGCAATATGCCCATAGACTTGAAACTGTATGTACAATGAAAAAAGAATTAGCCTAAAGAAAGACGTGTATTTCATCGACTGAAAATCACACTGCATAAGATTTATGTCATGTAGTGTACAAAACTTAAGCCTTAACAAATAATTTTTAAAAAAAAGAGAGAGAGAGAGAAGAAAGCTAGAAAGCGACACAATGATATAAAATTCGCAGGGAGGACATCGGAGAACTAGAGCGCGCTGTCTACATAATATATAAAAAAAAAAATTAATTAAAGATGTTTCAATTTAATTATTTAACCCTGTCACATTCTTCTATAAAATAACAAAGTGTACGCTTCAAGACTAGATTTTATGACAAATATTTAATACTGTCTTGTTAAATTAAAATGAGAGCTTAATTTAAAAGTAAATGGAAAGGGGGGGGGGGGTTGTTTTCAACTAAATGTGCTCATACATTTTCAGTTCTCCACATGGTAAAATAAATTGATATTTACAACCACTGACTGTGTTGAAGTATTAAAGATACCCACAAAAAGCTTTTGATGACAGTACACATACATGTGAGAAAAAAATATGAGATAAGATTTCTTTTAACCTTTATGAATAAAAATTAAACTTTTTAAAAAAAACTACTTGGGAAGAAAAACCACTGCAAATACAACAGAATAATTTTCCTCAGGTAATGTCATCTACATTTAAAGAAAAAAAAACCATTTATGAAAGCTTATGTTAGCATTATGATCTAAAAATGATTATAATAAAATTAATAGCTGAAAACTGAAAACAAATTAATAAAACGTGACTTTTTTTTTATTTAGAATAATTTATTTTATAATTTACTGTAATGAATTTATTAAAATACTTTTTTTTAAAAAAACAAATAACCATTTCTCAGGCTATTTTAATCCATTCCCAGGTTAAAAACAATGACCACAGCAATTATCAGTAAATCTCAGCATCGACAGTACCTCAACAGTAATTATCAGTAATTCTCAGCAGCGACAGTACCTCAACAGTAATTATCAGTATTTATCACACTCCACAGTAAAAGACGACAGTAATTATCAGTATTTATCAGCAACAACTAAAATTATCAGCAACAACAGTAATAATAACAGTAAATATCAGTATTTATCAGCAAGAACAGCATCGTATCAGTAATTATCAAACATTATCAGTAAAATTTGGGATTCTCAGCACATTTTTCGTCCAGTAGTGCAGTCAAGGTCACCAGGTCATTGACCTTGAAGTCATTGGAAAGAACTTGATTAGTGGAGTATGCACACCAAATATGAAGTCTCTGTCTTTTATGGTTCAAAAGTTATGGTGAAAGTTACCAAAAAAGCTATTTTTAGCATAAAGGTCACAGTCAAGGTCACCAGGTCATTGACCTTGGTGTCATTTGAAAGAACTTTATTTGTGTAGTATGCATACTAAATATGAAGTCTCTATCTTTTATGGTTCAAAAGTTATGGCGAAGGTTCAAGTTTGCAGACAGAAAAGCTATTTTTAGCATATAGGTCACATTCAAGGTCACAAGGTCATTAATATTAGTGTCAATTGAAAGCAACTTATTAGTGAAGTATGCATACCAAATATTAAGTTTCTACCTTTCATGGTTCAAAAGTTATGGTGAAGGTTAAAGTTTGGGGAGAAACAAACAAACAAACAGACAGACAGACAGACAGACAGACAGGACAAAAACAATATACGCCTCGGATCTATCGATCCGGGCGCATAATAAATACCCACGGGAAAACAGGTTGAAAATAGCTAATTGAAAGTGAGTATCTTTTTTATGTCAATTTAGCATGAAAATTTTTATTCAAAGACACCGTAATTTTTTTGGTTGCATTTTAATCGATACAAGATATGCTATTTTACCTTTATTTGATGCATTTGTGTGAAAATTGAAAGCGAGAAGTCATGTGAACAGGATTTTCTTGGGTTTTTTTTTTGGGGGGGGGGTGTACATCTTTTCATGAGCTTATAATACATTGAATTTCTCAATATAGATCGCGGTACAGTCATATTGAAATATGAATTACATAGTCAATTTTTCACATTTTTTCTAGTTTTTACGTTTATGAACATGTTAATGAACAAACAGAAATATTGGAGTGTTCAA